CTAGTGCAGCAGCTCGTTCATTATAGCTCCTCATGATCGGACTGCTGCTCACTCTCTGCTTTACTCGCCGGTGCAGGATCCTCAGCCGTGCTCGATTGTGACAAACCGGAATTCTTGCGAATGAACTCCAGAATGCTGTCAATGCGACGACGGCCCTTGTATACTTCGGGCTGTGAGGACCTCTCCTTGCCAGAAGGCCACATCGCAAGGGATGGGGTACTTGGTGCATTGAAATTCACTGGCAGGTCATTGAGTTCGACATCAAAGCGAAAGAACAGGGTGGAATCAGACACAAGCTGCTTGTGAACCTTTTTCAGCACAGCTTCAAATTTCTGGCAGTCGGAGCTGACTTGGGTCACAAAGAGAATGACAACATCCTTGGAGACATCACCAGCCAGGCGTTCAAAAGAGCTGGCAACTAGTGTCTTGACGGGTCCTTGGTTGCGCGATGGCTCTTTCTGCGAACGGTAGTATGGCTTGAGCTCACCATTTTCATGCCGCTGCAGATGTTCAATCATCTTGTCAGCTGTGAATGCACCCGGCAATGGAAACCTGGAGCGTTCATCCTCTATGAAACACGCCACTGCATCCTCATCATGATCAGAGAGGCCAAGCTGAGGTACAAGTTCGCCCATCTCCTCGGGGTCTGCAATTGCAAAGTTGATATCGGGAAACTTCTCGGCAACCTGGGCTAGCTGGTCAATCTCGTGCTGAATAAGACGTGTTGACTCCCACTCAATGTCTGTCATGACCACAACCAATGGACGAATGGGAGCAAACCGCATCATCCAGTTCTTCTTCGTCCCGAAGTTTACGAGAGAGCGGAAATTGTTCTCCACAAACGTCTTGGCAGCAGCATAGTCGAACATATCATCGTCGAACACAGCGTACTTCTTTTCACCTTTCCTGACTGGCAATCGCGAATCACGGATAATGACAAATCCAAGTGCATCACTTGTCACTCCAAACTCTTGCCTTGCAATTTCCATTGCATCGCTACCAATCATGTGAGCGAATTTCAAATCCCCGCGGAATGCATCTGCCAGTTCGTGAAAGGTTACCAGCTCCGGCGCCTCATCACTGGGGAAGAACCCAACAACAACGGCATCTTTGGAGATGGTGCCGTGTTTCTTCGCGGCCCCTGCAAGCGGTTTCAACGGAGTAGACGCCGGTGCAATGCGTACCTTGATCCATTGGGCTATCTCATGCGCTGATCTCGCACCATCATACCGAATCTCCTGGCCATTTCTGTAGAAGATTAGCGTGGGGAAACCTGTGACGTTAAAGCGAGTGGAGATGTCCGAGTATTTGGCTCCGTCGACCCGTCCAAAGGGTACGGCCGGTTTGTGTTCCTGCATCATTTCCGCCGCATCCATGTACGCTGGCTCCATCTGCTTGCAATGGTTGCACCATGGCGCATAGAACATCATCATTACAGCTCGGCGAGACAACGTGAAGTCCTGGATAGTGTCATCGCTAAGCTCGGTGACAATGCCATCAGCGTGGTCAGACTTCCAGTTAGGCTGAGCATGCTCGCGCATCACTTCAACTAAACCCGTTCGGGTCAGGTTGCCATAGAACTGATATGGTATGCTCTCATGGAAGATCAGGACTGTTGGCACTCTGAAAATACTGAATCTGCGTAACAAGCCACGTGTATTGGCATTGGATGTGTCCACTATACCATACTGCATATCCACTCCTTCCTCTTTCAGCTCCTTGCACGCCAACCGATACTCGTACTTGACACTTTCGCTAGCAGCCAGGTGAGGATCGTGGAAGAACACCGATACAATTCGTTTACCCTCGATCACATCATCAAATATCTTATCCTCTCGGAAATCGTAAATACCATCCTCGTCTAGTTTCGTCTTCTCCGACAGCGCTACTCCAGCGGTGATTAGTAAAACGACTGCTAGACCCACCGTCCTGCGGTGAGTACAAGGCAACATCGTAGGGTAGAGCAGGGTTTAAATAATTAGAAAATAGAACGCTGCGCTGGGGAACAGTGTTTTTCGCAATCCAAATAATTGGATATTGATGAAATTCTCAAACGAAAAGGTGGTCTACACTATGCGCCACCTCTACCGGTAGAGGTCTGCAGTAGCGCTATGCTTATGAATATGATGGAGTACATGACTGTATCCCCCAACCCCCCCCCCCCCCCAGGCAACGGGCCCAAGCCATGGCGTGGATCTTTTGATTCTTTTTGCACTTGTACTTTGTTGTAGCGCAGTCGTCTATCTAGTGCCAGTACTCTATCTAGGTCGCGCCGCCGGCGAGCTGCTTTTTCGCTGTTTGATTTTTGAAGTGTTGTACTAAGTCTTGTAGATCTACATGTAGCGGGACACAGACGTCAGTACAGTAACGTGTGAAAGATCACGCTTCGTGAGCACAGAGTGACAGATCAGACTCAGAGGCAGATTGTATTCATGGCAGCCAGCGCATAGCCGCATACTGTACTATTATTGTAGATCTACCGTCTCCCCTACGAAATTTCGGATTTACAAAACGCAAAGACTATGGGCACTTTCGATTACACATTTGGGCCGAATCCTCGACCAGAATGAACGGATTGCGGCCATGTAAAACGAACGACTACACGTAAAAATCATAAAAGGGGATCACGCGTGCACGTGGGATCCGATGCACCCTCTCGCGCACGTGGACCTAGCATGGCGTTATACGTCAAGTGTGTAAATTCTGGAATTAGCAATTCCGCCCTCTCTTCAGAATTGGCGGAATTGACGGAATTGGAATTGACGACGGAATTTGGGTAATCGAACGGTGCATCCACCATAACTAATTCTAGAATTGACCGAAATGTGTGTAATCGAACGCGCCCTATGACTTGTACGAGTTTACACTACAGGTACTGTACCCATCTACCAGGCCTATGGCGGTGAGCTCCAAGTGAAACCCGACTTCTCTTTTTTGAGAGCCTGGTCATGGTCATGATCTGAAAGCAAGGAAGATGATCTGTTCCAAAAAGAAACAGTCCTAAGCACACCACTCCACCGGGAGACTTCTGCGGCAACTTTGTCCTCCCTCTGGAGATCGAGACATTCCCGGGCTAGAGTCTAGACCGACCATTGGGCCAGCTGGAGGCTAGCTCCTACTCCCCAGCCAAGAAGACATGCTAGCACATCACTCACTAATCACACAGAACATGCGCATACCAGGAAGGTTTGAGTGAGAAGTTGTGGGACAGAATTGTGGTGAAGTACTGTAAATACTAGTGTGGCATGTATAGTATACTGTACGTCATGAGCACTTTACTGGCTGTTGCCGGTCAGAAAACACGTTGTACCGAAAGACTTAGACACGATATGTATGTACATGTACTCAAATCTGTAGATAACAACTGCTTCAGCATGGTGTGACTCTTCAGTACAGCTTCCAAGGTCTTTGGAGTGACTAATGTCTCCATGCGACAAGAAATCTCTGCTCTAAGGAAACTCGGACATCATCAGTCGTGTCACTGGAGAATCTCTGCATTGTAGATGTCCGAAATCATCGGGTGGTGAACCCCTCTTACACGCCAAGGTAACATGTTTCATTCGGGTCGACAATGGCCGGAATAACATGACAGATTGTGCTCTCGGGCGTGAAAGCAGGCAGGATGCTCTCAGGAAGACTTGAATCCACCTGGTTGGGTTCTGATGATGGCGGATGAATTGACGATTTGTGCGACGCACATGTGTATGGACTAAAGTGTAAAGCCGGTCCATGCCGAGCACGCACAGCTCTCAAGAGGCTAGACGTATAGCAGCAATGCAGAATGTACTGAGTATACGGTAACCGTAAATGACGGCTCGTGGGCACCTACGACAATGATGATCCACAGGGGACGAATCGGCTGCCGACTCGAGAACTGAAAGGTAGAAGGAATCAGTGCAATGTGGTGCAAGATTCTATTCCAAGCCTTGGTATCATGGTTTGCTCAGGACATCAGCGTCCACAACTCATGTGCAGCTACGGTGATGGACGAGGATGACCCATGTGATAGTTGGTAGATGGATGGATGGACAGTCAGATGCACCACCTGTGTACTCTACTGTGTACCCCCTTCTCACACACTTGGAGCAGGAGGAGAGGTCGGCTCGTCTTAGTACATGTAGTAGTCATAGCTCTATTCACGTCGAGTTGGGTTGGTTGTCTTCTCTTTCCTATTGTGTTCCATCGGCTTCGAGTACAGTATAAACTCGACTCGGTTAATGTTATAGGTGCATGTATTTCACAAGGACCAGGGAAATGGAATGGTCCGAATCAGCACTCCATATTCAGTTGCAGATATTATGTGACTACAGGAGATACTTGTGGCATCGTAGGAGCTCGTCCTGAGTTCCAGTGTCATCCACGCAGTCGGCTCGCAATCTCTGAATGACATATTCTGTCTTCTCTACTCTCCTCTCGGACTTGCGTGTCTCAGATTCCACTTCGGTATCAATCTCCGATTTTCTTTTCCAAAAACGCGAGCCACCTGACCGCCATGCAGCACAATCTCTGATCAACAGATCAACACGATCCTTGTGAGTCGGTACTAGCTCAGTGAAATAGCTTGACATCAATAATCCTGATGAGTCTCCCATCCTTCCTACACCGGAATGAAGACCATGAATTGGCCTCTCCAATTGTTTCTCCGCAATGGATGCCTCAGGCTCTGTGCCTCCTAAGGTCTCTCAAAGAATTCTTTATGCGGGGCAAAGCATGCAGGGCAAGTAAGTTAGTTGCACAATCAGGAGAGATGAGAAAGTAAAGACAGTACATGTATACACATCGTCCAGCTGAAACCCGGATGAAGGAGCTAACTACATGTAGTTGGGAGGACAGGGATCGGGAAGAAGAAGTTGAAAAAAAAGGAAAAAGTGAAGAAAAAAAGTAATGCCTCCCGATCAATTAGCCGTTCCCTCACATTGTCTTGACCAAGAACGCGAGCAACCACCACAAATTCCGTGCAGACACCGGTTCAGGGAGGAGCTGGTTCGGATCCTAAGGCTAAGCCATAAATAAACCAGACCTTGTGTCGCGCACGAGAATCGAACCCACGACCTGCGAGCAGGCCGGAGTTCGGCAACCCGAAGAAATAACCACATGAGCTATATCGGATTGCTAACTGCGGTCTTAAAGGGGAAGTATACCCTAAAATCAAATTTTCACCAGTTGTAGTCGTCTGGGTGCTGAGTCGAATGGTCTTGGTCCGAGGAAGCTGCGACGCTCCCTTCCTACTTGAATCCCAATCGAACTCGCGCACTTCCACCGAAACTGGGTGACTGCGCCCTACTAGATGGGGATTTGTATGCAAAATGTCACTAAAAGCGCCGTTTCGTTCTTATAAAAGCACGGATGACCGCGATTGGCCCATATGTTGTAGTCTTTTGGACGCTGAGTCGACTGGTTTTGGTCCGAAAAGGCTGCGATGCAGCGTTCCTCCTTTATTCCCAATCGAACATGGTTGAACAAGCGGTCACGTGCTCCTGGGTGCCCAAATCACCTGGTCACCACGCCAGCAGGCGACAAATTTCACACCAAGGTTCAACTCGAGTTCAACTCGAGTGACAGGAGTGCACCCAAAAAAGGTCAAACAGGCTAGTAAGTTGTACCCTGCAGGCACGGTGACCAGGTGACTGGTGTACGCAGGAGCACGTGACCGCTTGTTCAACCATGTTCGATTGGGAATAAAGGAGGAACGCTACATCGCAGCCTTTTCGGACCAAAACCAGTCGACTCAGCGTCCAAAAGACTACAACATATGGGCCAATCGCGGTCATCCTTGCTTTTATAAGAACGCAATGGCGCTTTTAGTGACATTTTGCATACAAATCCCCATCTAGTAGGGCGCAGTCACCCAGTTTCGGTGGAAGTGCGCGAGTTCGATTGGGATTCAAGTAGGAAGGGAGCGTCTCAGCTTCCTCGGACCAAGACCATTCGACTCAGCACCCCGAAGACTACAACTGGTCAAAATTTGATTTTAGGGTATACTTCCCCTTTAACTGTGCATATAAGGTTGACCTTTGACCTTTCATCTATCCCGAGCGCGACCTCGCGAGGGAACTTATGAACTCACGGAAGCAATCTGGCTGGCCGAGATATAAAGAAGAGAACATTGGAACTACATTATACTTCAGTCTTCAGAACCGAAACCGAAGTACTTTTTAGTTTCTCTGCATCTATCTCCCGGGATCTAGGACTGCAAAACAATGGACATGTGCTAGCAGTATGATCCGGAACTAGTGTAGTAGTGAAGTACCAGTTATTACGTATTCAGTTTGAGTCTGTTACTTTACTTTTTCTTCTCCTCCCCTTCTCCCTTCCTTGCCGTGGTTGGCTAACACCCTCTCTCTTTGTATTGGCCGGTGTTCTCACTGTGCTATGAGATGCTGCAATAAATAAATAAATAAATAAATATCAATGGGGTACTGGTAAGGTATTCACTCTCACATCTATTATTGCATGGACACTCAATTGTACAAGCAAGGCCAGAAGCAGAGCAGTCTAGCTTTGTTGGTCCTGGACTGCAACTGACCTTTCGTCAATTCTTATGGAACTGCCTCCCACCAAGACTAACTGCAGAACCATCCATTATTGTTTTCAAGAATGAGCTTCGCAAACTCACTTGCAAACATAGTGCTTCGCTCTCCGGTATGCCTACGCCATGTACATAAGTAACATAACCCCCCCCCCGTGTGCTCGGCCCAACGCATTCACGCTGCACAACTTTTCACTACTTTCACTTTAGCTCATACGTGTACATGTACATGTACATCCTTCAAAGCGGTGAACCCCTTGATAGGCGACAAGCCTCTGGGTCATCCTAATAAAGATATTATTATTATTATTAATTTCGCTCAGTCTACACTGTACGTCTGAACACCACGCGACATGCAGGTAAGCGTCACGAAACTCCTGACACAGTCACACTGTGACCCAATCTGTAGACATTATCACATAATGCAATCGAGAGACTTCAGCATTTACAGTGGCTGGGTTGATGTCCAACACTTATATTAGGATGGCCTATAGGCCTATGAGACAAAGTCACTTCATAAGCTTGTGTCCCAAAGTGAGAGTACTCCCTCGGGGGGATCGGGTATGATGATGATAGCATACTGTAAAAAGGGTAACTATTGCGACGTAAAAATGTTTGCGAATTTTGCGAGAGGCCCCCGAATCGCAAACTTTGAACAACGCAAACTCGCGCCATGTAAGGTTCAGTGCAAGGACTGACTCGACTGTGTAGAACGACTGTAGAACGACTCGCAAACATTAAACAGCTCAAACCAGTCTCAATTTGTAAAACGCAAACATTTATTGTCGCAAGCGTTATACAGTAACCACTCTCACATCTGTTTTGGCATCAGTGGAAACTCAATTCTACAAGCTGGGCCAGAAGCAGAGCAGTCGCTTTGCTAATCCTACGCTGTCATCATCCGGTTACTAGTACTTAGAGTATGCTGTCATCATCATGCCTGGTTGCTTAGGTTTTAAACAATCAAGCCAAGCTTGCGTCCTAATACACCTACCCATACCTCGGTTATCCGGACCCCGAAGTTACGGGCACTTCGGTCTACCGGGCACTATTTGGGCGAGTTTCAGGGGAAGTATTACTACTCTTTTGTCACTTTTCGTAGAAATATTCACGTCATATGCCATATCGATGGCCTTTTCCCCATCAAGATGTATATGATTCGGAGTTACGGACATTTCAAAGTTACGGGCAGTGCAAGGTCCCGGACTGCCCGGATAAACGAGGTATGAGTGTAGGTGTACTCCCTCGTAGGATCATGACACAGAGTCTGGCAAACCTCTTTGACTTTGTCAAGCATACAGTAACATGTACTACTGTACAGGACCGCCGGAAGCAGTTTTCAATTGGTCCGGTCACACCATAGTCTCATACTTTGTGTATAATATGGCGTGACATACATGTATGCCCTTACAAGCAGTATCAAAACATGCGTTGGTAGCCACAACGTTGGTTCCGGCGTGCCCTCTGTATTCTTGTACAGTAGCATCTCATGCAGGGAAGACATGAAGTGAACTTGCACTGGTCTACATCATTACATGTACCCACACGGGTACAAGTCATGTTATCATGTGTATCATGTGTGTCATCGGCTAGCTGCAACTCAATATTCCTTCATGCTATGCTATAGCGCTACACAAGGTCAAGATCATTGTAGATTTCCTTTTTCTGCAGCTACACTGTGTGTGTGTATATGTGTATGTGTGTGTGTGTGTGTGTGTGTGTGTGTGTGTGTGTGTGTGTGTGTGTGTGTGTGTGTGTGTGTGTGTGTGTGTGTGTGTGTGTGTGTGTGTGTGTGTTCTGTCTTTTGTTGTTGCTTTGCTGGGGAGCAAAAGTCCATGATTGTGTTCTTAAGTTGCCCCCCCCCCCCACACACACACACACATTCAGAAAGTTCTATGTGGCGCAGAGACCCTCGGTTGCAGCCATGGTATGACTCGTCCACTGTAGGAGATGCAAGACATACAATGTACAATCATCATCTCATCATGTTTACCAGCCTAAACCAGGAACATTGACGACAGTCTGCGCGGCCACAGTGATCAATGCAGAATGTTATAACAGACGTTCAGTGAATTATAATAATAATTATTATGTCGTTCAGTCTATACTCGAGGTTCATTCTAATCATCAGGAGTAGGGCTGAAACGCTTACTGAAGTACATGTATACCAATTATTTGGTATTAAACCGATCAATAATTCCTTTTAACAGTCAACTACACTGTAGTCGTTACGTTTTAGATTACTCGTTAGGGATTCTGAGTCGGAAAGGTACTGAAAACCCCGGTTTTTGTAAGTTTGAATCAGCTTCCGCTGTGAGTATGCAGTTGCCAGGGGTATGGTTCGTATTCTGAGGTTCAATTGACTTCAAAACTGCCATGTTTCGGAACTACTCCTTCACTAATGCAGATTCTTGGTATTATTCGCAGATTGGGTGTTATGAAGACATAGCGTGTGGAAACAGAGTAATTTTTGCACAGAATTCTGACACTATTTGCTAACGATATACATGTAATCGATAAAGCGATCGTTAACTAGCCAAAGAGTAATCAATAGGTGAAAATCCACGATCATTTCAGCCCGGCTTATCAGGAGACAATGTTCTTAGTAACTTCTTACAATGGGAAACTTTGAATTATGAAACTGAACCAAGCTTGATTCATCCGATGATGTTGTGAGATGGATAGCACCAAGAGAAGCGTGGGTCACGGCCGTGGACGGCAACCAGGCATTTGTTGGGGGCGTTTGCACCAGGGAGTAGTACAATACCGGTATTGTACTACTCCCTGATTTGCACCTCACTACGAGATGGAGTATGGTCATGAATCTAGCGCTGGTCCAAAATCTGGTGTTCTGTCTTCTGCCTGTGTGGTAATGCTCCATCCAAGTAGTTGTGGTGGCGGTCGAAAAAGCTGACAGGATCGCTTTTTCAAAAATTAAAGGGGAAGTATACCCTAAAATCAAATTTTCACCAGTTGTAGTCTTCTGGGTGCTGAGTCGAATGGTCTTGGTCCGAAGAAGCTGCGACGCTCCCTTCCTACTTGAATCCCAATCGAACTCGCGCACTTCCACCGAAACTGGGTGACTGCGCCCTACGAGATGGGGATTTGTATGCAAAATGTCACTAAAAGCGCCATTTCGTTCTTATAAAAGCACGGATGACCGCGATTGGCCCATATGTTGTAGTCTTTTGGACGCTGAGTCGACTGGTTTTGGTCCGAAAAGGCTGTGATGCAGCGTTCCTCTTTTATTCCCAATCGAACATGGTTGAAGAAGCGGTCACGTGCTCCTGGGTGCCCACTGCACCACCTGGTCACCGCGCCACTGAGCAGGCGACAACTTTCACACCAAGGTTCAACTCGAGTTCAACTCGAGTGACAGGACTGCACCCAAAAAAGGTAGCAGATTATCGCCCATTTGTTCGTTCATGCTTTCTAGGGGCTCCCGTAAGAAGACCATAAAAAGTAAAGTAAAGTAAAGTAAACAGGTCTAGGTCTGTGGGAAACACCCTAGTAAAATAAATAAAATAATAATAATAATAATAATGTAGAAGAGAAAAGGACATATCGATACGAGTTAAGAGTAACTCTCCATCACTGTAACATGATACTATATACAGTCACTGTATATAGTATCATGTTACAGTGATGGAGAGTTACTCTTAACTCGTATCGATATGTCCTTTTCTCTTCTACATTTATTTATGGCTCAACATCCGAGTTTCAAATAATAATAATAATAATTGTAAAAGAGAAAAGGACATATGGATACGAGTTTAGAGTAACTCTCCATCACTGTAACATGATACTATATACAGTCAGAAAGTGCAATAACTAGGCACAAAACTGACAGAGTACTGAGACATTCGACGTCCTGACACCTAACTTTAACACATCTCCGTAGCGCTAACCGACAGCCTTCCAACTTGGAAGGTTCAAGGTTATGGAAAGACCAAAGAGGGGAAGGCAAGAGTTTCAAATAATAATAATAATAATAATAATAATCAGGTCAAACAGGCTAGTAAGTTGTACCCTGCAGGGCTGAGTGCAGGCACGGTGACCAGGTGACTGGTGTACGCAGGAGCACGTGACCGCTTCTTCAACCATGTTCGATTGGGAATAAAGGAGGAACGCTGCATCGCAGCCTTTTCGGACCAAAACCAGTCGACACAGCATCCAAAAGACTACAACATATGGGCCAATGGCGGTCATCCGTGCTTTTATCAGAACGAAATGGCGCTTTTAGTGACATTTTGCATACAAATCCCCATCTAGTAGGGCGCAGTCACCCAGTTTCGGTGGAAGTGCGCGAGTTCGATTGGGAATAAAGGAGGAAGGAAGCGTCTCAGCTTCCTCGGACCAAGACCATTCGACTCAGCACCCCGAAGACTACAACTGGTGAAAATTTGATTTTAGGGTATACGTACTTCCCCTTTAACGGGAGTCGTAAAATACCGGTATTTTACGACTCCCTACAACCATTTTTACAACATTTAAATTTTTGACGAGGGAGCCACACGTACACGCCGGCGCGGCAGGCACTACATAGTCATGGCCCAAATTTGATCAGCGCACATCGATATTTTGCCGCACAATTTTGCCACAAAAATTTCGATATTCTGCTTGGCATTTCCTTTTTCCGTCGGTATTTTGCTTTGGTTTTGCTCGAGAAAAAATGAGTTTCAAGGAAAACTCAACGATAATTTTCGCTGATGAAGAGGGAATTTTTGATTTAGCTCCTGCTGCTGCTCAACTTTCTACAAAATGTGGCCATGAGTCTGTTTTGTCCAACTTTTGTGCTTGTTTTCAACCTTGGTGACAGATTGCGTTGAGAAGCCTTGGATTTTTGGAAAAGCCCACCAAAACTCGATATTTTGCTCAAAAATTGCTAGCAACTTGCGCATCCGATATTTTGTTCAAAGAATTGCTAGCAAATTTGGGCTATGACTAGTATCAAGAGTACGTAAAAGGGGGGTTATGTACTCTTGCTAGTAAGTACTAGTATGAGTCGATGACTAGCAGCAAGAGTACATAACCCCCCTTAGGGTGTTATCAAGAGTACTCTTGGTGTTATGTACTCTTGCTAGCAGGCACGCAGCTCTCTCGCATGACCAAGGCAAGAGTGCATAAACAGTTTATGGACTCTTGGCATGACTCACAACATGACAGGACTCCAGGGGGGATTTCCCTTCGATCACACACATGGCCTGTTGTACGACTCGTACTCGTACTCGACGTAGTCTTGCTCTGTGCTTGAAAAAAAGAGCTTCTTTTCATGTTCAGGCTTGAAGTTGAAGTGCATGTATCTCTCGCGGCCAGGAGTTCATCACATTTTCAAGCAATTCTAATATTCGTGTTCTTGGTCGTCATTTCAGAGTCCAGTTTAGTCCAGGCTTTGACCCATATCGCTGTAGACGTGTAGTTTGTTGTAATCTATAATTATCAGTATACATATCAGACAGTCATGGCGGAAGGTGGTGAAACAGAGCCTGCGCCGAAGCCATACGTCTCAGTAATGATGGGGAACGGCAAATTTGACGATTCGTTCATGTCCACAGTAGAGAAGTACGAGTTTGGAAAGATGCCAGACGGAGACATTGTGTACGGCTTCAAATTTACCAACAAGACGAAAGCTGAGGTTCACGTGATCAGCTTGGGAGCAACTGTTCAGAAAGTGTGCATGCCGGACAAGTAAGGATCGCTACGTGTGGTGAAACCTCAGTAAAACATACCATCAAGGGCCTTACAAATATCTGTACAGTACTCTTTAGCCGAGGCACTACAGTATACGTATAACCAAAGTTTATAATCTAAAATACTTTAAAATAGTACTTTATTACATCCCGTAGTACGTTGTATCCAGGGTACTTCATCAGGGGCGCGTGCGCGTAGCACTTTTTTTAACACAATGCTAAAAGTGCCCAGAATGCAGGATTTTGCACCCTAATTTCAAAAATTTCCCCGGGACACCCCAGACCCCCTCCAGCCGGACCACCTCCAACAGCGATGCTACGCGCCTGCTGAAGTTTCACTACACATAATGTACCAGGAATAGCCACACTCCCTGATTTCGACACAATTTGCACATGCTTGCCCGTTGGCGTTGTGCATAGAAACTTGAAGAGGTTTGCATTTGTAAATTGTACATGATCATGTATAGCGAATGGTGAAGTTGTATTTTGAAATTTGTGGCAGCTGACTGTGCCCTCATATTCTGTGACTGTGTTGTCTATGTTTCCTGTTCTGTTCAGGGATGGCAAGGTCGTGGATGTGGTGCACGGATTTGAAACTGTGGAAGGTAAGGGGTTGTCGCAAAAGTTTTTTTTTGTCGAACATCGTTCATTGGGGGAGGGGGTGTAGGCCCGAATCGCAAGTCGACCGACACGGTAAGTAAGATTTGCATTGTCCAGCATAGCAAGCTGCATCATTTCGGGGTGGAGGGTCAGAGTACGAAATGAACAATGTTCGTTTCAGGGACGACCAAAAACTTTCGCAACAACTCCTGCGTGCACAATGAAAGCTACTGCAAGCAAAACTTGTCATAGTGTTAACGCATCCGTCCGTGGGTTCTGATTTTGGCATTTGTCCAGAGCTGCTGTATGAATGTTCTAGCAAGCGCTAGTCAGGCATGCCCTCACTGTACTGATTGTACACACAGCACTTGAGAGTAGCTGTCAGTCACGTGTGTAATTTATACATTGTAGCCAGCAATTTCCAATGGAATGTTGAATGTTAGTCTTGCATAGCCTCCTTCAAGTTCATATTTGTCCTGTCTTTCATCCATTGCTACAGAGTATTTGAGTGCGAAGAATCCTTACTTTGGTTGCCACGTTGGCCGCGTGTCCAACCGTATTGCTGGTGGCAAATTTACGCTCGATGATGTTGAGCACATCCTACCACAAAACAACGGACCAAACTGTCTGCACGGTGGCACGAAAGGATTCGACAAGGTGCGCTCAATGTCACAGTCTTGAACATGTGGTCTTACGAATGCACGTTTTATTTGTCATTCCTAACTGCAATTTTAATCAGCTTGCTATTTCTCTCCCGACCCTGGACCAGTTGACCTTGTTCTGATGACAATGTCTATGCTTTGTTGTGCTAGTGCTATTTGGGTTCAGTTGAGTTGCTTACGTATGCCTCCGCTACTCTACTACTACATGTTGTATGTCTTGTGACTTTTGTTTGTGTATGCGTGTGCGTCCGTGCGTGTGTGCACATGCACATGTGTCCTGCAGGCCAACTTTAAAGTGGACCAACGGCACGATGTGGTGATTTTCGATCACACCAGTCCGGATGGCGATCAAGGCTTTCCTGGTGCTGTGTCGTTGAATATTGAGATCTACGTGCATGACACGGACATCTGCATGGAATACCGTGCCACCAGTACTGCTGCTACGCCCATCTCTATCGCCAACCACTCTTATTTTAACCTTGCTGGTCATGTAAGTTGAGTGTGCGTACATGGAGTGTCACGTGCAGCATATAACACTCTGACGATGCATGTGGTCGTTATCTGTATTTTGTAGTTATTCGCGTATCAAACTATCAATGCAGGTTGATCTCAATGCCTGTAGCGATTGAGGTTACGTTTGGTTGGTCACATTCCCAAATGGGAATCACTTGGAATCACTCGGAATCATTCTCGCCCGTTTGGTTGGTCAAAAAAGTGTGTTAGGTTGGTCCCATTCCAGAATGAGAATCGCTGAGAATGATACTTTTTGGAGAATGATCATTCCACCTCGCATGCTGGAATGAGCATTCTCATTGCGGAATCAAAAATGATAATGGTTGCCACGAGCCAAACAATGTAGCATCAGGTTCAAGTGCCTCAAATCATGCACTCTAGTACCTTGGCTCTCTCAAGGAAACTAGAGTCGGGTGAAAGAGAAGAGAGCCGCCGTTCCACAACGACATGGAAGTGCTATGTCAAGTGATTCCTACTTGATTCTGGTGCGTTTGTTTGGTCAGGTGATTCTTACCCATTCCCAATCCAGAATGGTTGTCATTTACATTCTGAAAATGCCCAACCAAACGCAATCTGAATAACTATAGCACTGCTTGATGGTTATCGATTTGTCCAGATTCCACTGTCTCTATCCTCCTGTTGGTTTTCTATGCATGGACTGAATCTCTTCATTCACCTATCTATCCATGGGTAGTGAATAGCTGCACACATTTCATGAAAAACCCTTGCTTTCCAGTATCTGAGCAGACGTCTGGCATTGTCACATAGGCTGGACGCGTTTGTGCACTTAGGGAGACCAGGTAAATAGTCGAATAGATCAGAGCGCCATTACATGACGTCTAACCTGCGGATGGGCAGAGTGAGTGTGTCGTAGGTTGAGGCAAGCTCTCTGCACAGAAACTGGAACTGCAGAAAGTCATAGCGGGATGTTAGTTTTCTGCCTCTCCAACTCTCAGTTGAGGTGGATATTTACATGCTGTTTGTGCATGTTCTTGTTTTTGTAGGATTCTGGTTCAGTGAAAGGACATGAGCTTGAGCTGTTCTGTAACAGGTACATTCCAGTCAATGACGTTCAGATACCGCTCGGTAAGCACAGTCATGATCCTTGTATGCACATGACATTGTATAGTACAGGTCACTGGTACTGGTCACCGATACCACTGGGTGAGCACATGACATTGTATAGTACTGGTCACAGATACCACTGGGTGAGCACATGACATTGTATAGTACTGGTCACCGATACCACTGGGTGAGCACATGACATTGTATAGTACTGGTCACCGATACCACTGGGTGAGCACATGACATTGTATAGTACTGGTCACCGATACCACTGGGTGAGCACATGACATTGTATAGTACTGGTCACAGATACCACTGGGTGAGCACATGACATTGTATAGTACTGGTCACCGATACCACTGGGTGAGCACATGACATTGTATAGTACTGGTCACCGATACCACTGGGTGAGCACATGACATTGTATAGTACTGGTCACCGATACCACTGGGTGAGCACATGACATTGTATAGTACTGGTCACCGATACCACTGGGTGAGCACATGACATTGTATAGTACTGGTCACAGATACCACTGGGTGAGCACATGACATTGTATAGTACTGGTCACCGATACCACTGGGTGAGCACATGACATTGTATAGTACTGGTCACCGATACCACTGGGTGAGCACATGACATTGTATAGTACTGGTCACCGATACCACTGGGTGAGCACATGACATTGTATAGTACTGGTCACCGATACCACTGGGTGAGCACATGACATTGTATAGTACTGGTCACCGATACCACTGGGTGAGCACATGACATTGTATAGTACTGGTCACAGATACCACTGGGTGAGCACATGACATTGTATAGTACTGGTCACCGATACCACTGGGTGAGCACATGACATTGTATAGTACTGGTCACAGATACCACTGGGTGAGCACATGACATTGTATAGTACTGGTCACAGATACCACTGGGTGAGCACATGACATTGTATAGTACTGGTCACCGATACCACTGGGTGAGCACATGACATTGTATAGTACTGGTCACCGATACCACTGGGTGAGCACATGACATTGTATAGTACTGGTCACCGATACCACTGGGTGAGCACATGACATTGTATAGTACTGGTCACAGATACCACTGGGTGAGCACATGACATTGTATAGTACTGGTCACCGATACCACTGGGTGAGCACATGACATTGTATAGTACTGGTCACAGATACCACTGGGTGAGCACATGACATTGTATAGTACTGGTCACCGATACCACTGGGTGAGCACATGACATTGTATAGTACTGGTCACCGATACCACTGGGTGAGCACATGACATTGTATAGTACTGGTCACAGATACCACTGGGTGAGCACATGACATTGTATAGTACTGGTCACCGATACCACTGGGTGAGCACATGACATTGTATAGTACTGGTCACAGATACCACTGGGTGAGCACATGACATTGTATAGTACTGGTCACAGATACCACTGGGTGAGCACATGACATTGTATAGTACTGGTCACCGATACCACTGGGTGAGCACATGACATTGTATAGTACTGGTCACAGATACCACTGGGTGAGCACATGACATTGTATAGTACTGGTCACCGATACCACTGGGTGAGCACATGACATTGTATAGTACTGGTCACAGATACCACTGGCTGAGCACAAGATCATTGTACAGTCCTTACCTTTCACCAAGTACGGCATGTCTTTAGACAAAATGTCTAGCTTCCTTGCTGCATATACAGTCTAGTACTCTATGCCCTAGCTAGGGCAAAGTGTGCCGCACAAGGGCAAAGCAACCGACCCAAAGACAAAAACATTTCCGTTACTCTGATTTTTGTGTTCAGAAACTTCATCAGACTGAGTTATCTATGTATGTTTGTTTGCTCTGTAGGCACATTTCTGCCTGTCAAAGACACACCGTTTGATTTCACCGAGCAGCCGCGTGTCATTGGTGACCGCTTGCACCAGGTAGATGGCGGTGGTCAGCCAGGCTATGACCATTGCTATGAGATCATTGGCAACTACATGAAGTATCGTCCAGTTGCAAAGTAAGAACTGCTTCTCCTGTCCATGCTGTTCCTGCTGCTGCTGCTTTTACACTGTTGTACTGTCATCCTCTGATCGTCCAGTTATGTCTTTGGAGAGCTCTACACTGTTGTTTGCTTCAGGCAAGGCAATGCGGTACTCTTTATTCCTCTGTCTGTCTGGCTGTGTGCCTGTGTGTGTCTGTGTGTTTCTGATGCGTTGCAGGTTGCGTGACCCAGTCAGTGGTCGCTACATGAAAATGTACACCACCATGCCTGGCGTACAGCTGTACACCAGTAACTTTCTGGATGGCAGTGTAGTGGGCAAGGAAGGAGTAGCCTACCCACAGCACAGTGCCGTGTGCTTAGAGGCTCAGTTCTACCCGGATGCCATTAATCAGGTAAGAAGAGAGACAACGCCACGGGCCGGGGGGCGTATGGTTTTGCAGTAGTACTCCAGTAGACGTGCACCGTCATCAGCAATGGTTCACCATGCTCCTAAGTCCCATCCACCACTCTGGCCATTTGAAATCTATACCACTCTATCCAGTGTAGTCTCATATGCCGATATTTAAAATGTTCAGCTGTGATGAGTGAAATTACGCTCTAAAATTAAAGGGTAAAAGACCCCCCCCCCCCCCACCACCACCAAAAAAAGCAGAGCCCTAGTGCTGCTGAAGTACGAAACTTGCCAACATTCCCATGACCCTGTGAACTAAACTTTCCAGTAACGATTTGCGAAAGTTTGAGCGCTTACCGAACTTAAGTGATTTCCCACAATTGTGTGCTGTTTCTTTTCTGCTTGCAGAGGGATTTGAAGTACTTTTACATCTTGAGGCCTCTGGGGCCGCCTCTTCATGAGCGAACTCACTACGAATTTTATGCTTGAGTGATGGTGCACTGGATGAAGGTTGGCACACTGCAATGGACCTTGCCATGTACTGGATGTTCTCGATGTTTTCAGATCCTGTCAAAGAGGTAACTGATGTTACTTTGTCGCGCTTCCATGTACCACCGTCTCTTGTGTCCTTTGTCATCATGGGTTTTGCCGTTTCAAAGACTTACCGGAATCTTGAAGGAATTTTGCGTCACTATGTTAGCCTGCTTGTGCCGTATCTTTTACCAATTAGCTGCATGTTGTAGCATTATATCTTGCTCCTCTTCTTTAGAAGTTAGAACCTTCACACATCACTTATTTCAAACTTATTCTCCTTATTTTTTACTTCTAGTAGAATTTCTTGTTATGGCTGGTCCAAGCTGAATGCTAAAATTTTCATTCCCTTTTCACTTTGCTTCGCTTTCAAACACTCCTCTATCACTGCTGGCTGAATGCATCTTTATCCTGTTTTAGAAATGTGTTTATATAAATCCTAATTCAAATCCTAATTGGCAACCTACTCAGTATTCACTGGTTTGAGGGGAAAGGTGCAAACGGGAAAAGTCTGAAGAGAAAATTGACTTTCACCACCGGGATTCGAACCAAGGACCTTCACTTGAGGCCAGCGATGCTCTTACCACTTAGCTACTCAGTATTGCCGACATTTCTTATCGATCTGTGAATGGGCGGGAGAGCTGATTGAGCTACCGGCAATGTTCCTTTTCACTCTCTCTCTCTCTCTCTCTCTCTCTCTCTCTCTCTCTCTCTCTCTCTCTCTCTCTCTCTCTCTCTTTCACACACGTATTCACGAATGCGTGTTGCTTTTGCACAAACACACTTGCTTGCACACACAGTTACACAGAACACCTGTATGTATTTGTGTCCCTCGTTACAATCCAGCACTTGTCGAGCCAATTTCTTTCAGGACGCAAAGCATCATTCATGCTCACTGCAAAAGTTAATCAGGTGGTGCCAAGGCATATTGTGGTGTGGCTGTGTAGGTGATTGCATGTTCGTGCAGATATTGCAATGACATGTGGATTACCGGTTATCATGGATGGATGGGGGACTCTCGCTACCAGGGAGTCGTAAAATATCGGTGTTTTAGGACTCCCTGCTTGCTACGCATTTTCATCTCTTTTCATAATACAATAAGATCCAGCTTGCAATAGAATAGTGTGTGGGAGTGGGTACCAGATATACTGGTCCAGATTCCTACATCATAAAAATTATTTAAATTGACTCCATGCCGGTCCTGGACTGGAGCGGCTTGGAGGCCCCGGTAGTACGCAGACCTACTGCTACATATGTAGCTGGACACTTGTTTATCGGTAGTATATACATGTAGGTTAAAAGGTAGCCAATTCTGACCGAGGCGTAGGCAAGTGGCAGGCGCTCATGATACTACATGTAATACCAAGAGTGCAGAAACATTAATTTTATGGACACTTGGTGTAGGACGGGGGGGGGGGCAGGGGTATGGTAGCAATGTGATGTGCCATCAACAACAACGTTCGACCCTCCCTGCCTGGTAAATGTGGTATTTGGCATGTGGCCATATACGGGCATATATCCATATGCCATGACTCATGAGTCATTATATTATTAGGCATGACGGGATTGAAACGTCACTCACACGTCACAGGTGCATGTGATTTGTTGTTGTGTTTTCTTTGCTGGTTTTCGAAGATTGAGAGATCACGATCAGTGCATATTTCACTTCAAAAATCAACGTCTTGTTCTCCATGATCCATCTCATGTCATGAGCTAACTCTCTCCCGCATCTGCAGGAAGTCTGCTAGTCGCAACTTTATCTGTACAGTGCTGGTCTTCCTGGAGCTGATCCCAATAGTATCTGATTCCCTCTGGCTAGCCCTGGTGAGTGAAACATCCCGATCATTTGTTCATTTTCAACTGGTTATTCTTGCTCTATACAATCATGTGCAGGCAAAGTTATAATGGTTGTCAATGACTGGCTGTTGATCAGAGTAGTGATTGGCCATACCCAGTGCTATGCCCCGAAAAGATACTACAAATGATAGGCCTATAGCCTAGTATAGGAGTCATCATGGTCATTGGACTGACTGAGTCGGGGTATGGGTGTGCACTGGCATGCACGTCCATTTTCTAACAGATTGAACAGGGGCCCATGGATACTGTGCGGTTACCGGTATGTGTACTGTACGGTAGTCAGTGTAGGCCGGAGCAAGCACGGCTCCAAGTCGGCTACAAGGCCGGTTATTTCCCCATACCCGATTTCAGTACCATGGGACGATGCATCTCTAGCTAGGCAACGGATAATTAGAACGGATGCATTCGGTGACCATTATTCCCATACAGAGACCAGGACTGCCGGAAGCAGTTTTTGATTGGTCCGGTGGTATCATGTGTATGATATGGCGGGTACACATGACCGCCACAGTAGGAAATACGTGTTGGCGGCCAAAAAGTTGGTCCGGTAATAACCTGACCAACCGGACCGGTTCCGGCGGACCTGGAGATTGTCTAATGAATCCATATTCATGAATTCAGAAACTCAGAATGACAGTAGCATAGCCTTGTTCCACTGTTGGATTGAACTTGGGTACTGAGTTGTTTTTACCTTCCAGCAGGCCTTGCCTTTTTACTAGGAACCCTAGGAACAATTTTGTAGTTGTTACAAATTCGAAATCGCCGTTAGGTGCTGCATCTGCCACCCTGGTATTACAGGCATGGTGGTGGCCTGGCACGAGCGACACTTCCTAAGCTGGTTGTGTTTCTCAACGCAATTGTATAGCCGGTTGTAAAGCGGACGTGCAAACTTTACTTAAACTTACAAATTCGAAAAGAGACGTAGCTTGACGGCAGCCAGCTAGAAGTACGTTCCACCTGTTCACCGCCAGAAATAAGCGCATGCATATTGCATATACCAAAATGGGAGGAAGTTTGGGTAATGTGAGTGCACCAGAAACCTACCTATGAGTGACGGCATTAGTTTGTGTAGAAGCAGAGCAAAGAGTAACTCAAGCACTTAAAACCAAGCTCTAACTATAAGCTCTGAGCATCGGGATTTCCATACCACGAGGGCGAAGGAGGACGGTTGTTCAGTTTGCTCAATCAATAGTAATTTTCCTGTGTTGGTGCATAGTATAATATTCCTGTGTTGGTGCAAAGTATCATATGTGCAGCTCTGCTCTGTACAGTCCTGCAGTCTGCTGTGGCGGTTGAAGCTGTGGTCTGCTGTGGCGGTTGAAGCTGTGGTCTGCTGTGGCGGTTGAAGCTGTTTTGCTATGTCTGTGCATGTTCTTGTTGTACAGCTTGCTGCGTTGTAGATCAACTCCGCACATTTTCCTATCAGCTATCCTGTATCAAGCAGCATGACCAATATGGAACAATTTGCAGGTAGAACCGATATGAACCTTACTGGCAATGTGTTGCATGCTGACCACACTGGTGCTTCGATGTCTTTGTCATGGAGTAGCATCTTGTGGTACACCACACGTATATTACATCAGTCTGAATTGTCTGAACGCGGAATCCTACCACACACGCACGCACGCACACATGCACGCACGCACACACACACTGTATGATTTATGTGTCTGTTTTCACTACAATCATTCTCTAGGTCTGTAGGTCATGTATGGTATCACTCATGCGTGAAATCATGTGATCATCAACCCTGTTTTTCCCGGGCTTGTGCTCCTGTGCACGAGACGTATGCTTCAGATGTATGGCCTTTTTCCGCTGCACGGCATCTCACGTGCAGAGTTTTTCCGCGTGCAGTGCTCTACAGTCCATTCAGAAAAAAATGAACTTCTAGCTTTTGGCCATAAATGGGTCAAACGTTGAGTTTTTTTAGAATTTTTTTCTGCAATCCCATATGGAATCCTCTTCCAATTATGTTTCTGAAGTTTTTTTGTCCAAAAAGCAAGCCATAGCAAGAATAGGATTTCGGCCAGGTTTTGCCCCAAAAGCACTGAATTGGGAAAAACCATCAAAATCCAGGCCGTTTGACCCCGCCTGCAACAGTGCATTCTGCGGTTCGAACCCCAGTTCAGGCACCCTTTTTGGACCCTTTTTCAAATTTCAAAGTTCGCAGCACTGCACTGTGTACGATGAAATCACGAAAAATCGCCAAATACGGGAGCTCGCCAGAGCCAGGACCCATTTTTTTATGAATGGACTGTAGCAGCTTTGGTTTTGTTGTTTTGCTTCTCTCCTTGTCTTGAAAAGAGTTCATGGTGAACAGTGGTTGAATCCAATTCTAAGTTTCTTCTCAGTTTTAGCAGTGTCTTATGTTTGATATTCTTAGTGCATACAGTCTTCCAGAGAAAGAAAACAAACATACTGGTCCTTCGAGCCGGATCTTCAGGATGGACGAGCAGAGTGCCTGGTGTTTCGCTAGGCTTCTGCCGCACGCAGTCCCGTAATGGGCCGTATACCAAGCTCACACTCGACGGAGTCACTCACAACACGAAAGACTTTATGGTTGATTAGAAGTAGAACGCCATGTCACGAACCGACTATTTCGTTCTAAGAAACTACAAGTTTGCTGGTGCTCGTACAACCAACGTTGGTACTGAGCCACCATCTGCTTCGTCAGCTTGCTCAGGAGACGGGAGAAGAATGTGCCGTTCTGTAGCTCCATGTGGCGACCTGCATCTTTGAGGTTCACTACGGCAATCTCGAGCAAATCTGCAAACTTCTCCAGTGCTTGCGGGTTGTAGCGCTGTATCGGCTGGAATGCTTCCAATGTTTCCAGCTGTATAGCCACCTGACGTCGTTGTCCGCCGAATTTTCTTTCAAGCCTCTCCAGGGATATCCTGTATGCCTCTGCGGTGTAGCCAAGCTGCTCTATTGCTCTGAGTGCCTCACCAGTAACATACTGCCGAAGCTGTAGAAGCTTAAGTTGTGGAGAGACAGGTGCAGCGTCAATGCATGCCATAAAGGCGGCCTTCCAGGTCTCGTACATCCGCACATCTCCGCTGAAGGTCGGAACAGCTACTTTCTTCAGCCTTCCAAAGACATCACTGCTGGGCAACCCAGTGCCGTACACAGGTGCTCTGCTGCTTACTGGTTGAGCTTGAGCTGCAGGCCGGAACGCAGGGGCCTGAAAGTTGAGGCTAGCTCCAGGATGTCCTGGAAAAGATCCAACACTCAACACAGACTTGCCTACATGACCACTAGATTTGACCAGAGAAACATGGTCCTTCACAGGTACAGCTTGTCCAGAACTAGGTATGGGTCTAGTCACACTTGAGCTTGTGACAGGTACATGCTGTGCAGTGGTACTACTACTAGTACAAGACGTGATACTAGACTGTACACTGTGACTTGAACTGGGGAGGCTGGTGACAGACTCAGCGGTGTGTGCAGGGGGAAGGCTATTCTCCGTTTGATCAGCTCCTTGCTCACCCGGTTTTGGACTGGTGTTGGTCTCTTCAGCTGCTGTGTCCTTGCTGTCATCAGTACTAAAGCCTCTCGGCGTCCTCCGTGACGGTGATCTTTCCAGTAGCAGTCCAGTCCTGCGATCTGTTTCCATTGCCAAAGTCAGCGCACTCAGTTCACTCTGCATTTGTCGTAAACCGACTCGACTAGTTGATCTACTGCCTTGGCGTAGTCCGAATTCATCCACACATCCACACCCAGTAAAGGAAACGACTCCCCTCGTTCAAACTGGCTCTGTGCTGCTTGAGCCTGTCCATACTGCTTCGCTCTTGCAGTCCACAACTCTACAAACTCGTCGTATCTGTCAATTGCCGTCTGCACTTCGCGATCGACTTCCTCCATTTCCTCCAAAGTCCGTATCACGTTCCTTTTATCGTTTACGAATTCATATTTTCTTTTCAGCTCGGAAAGCACTGCTGTTACTGCTTGCTCACAGCAGCACAGCTCATCGTAAAGGTGTCCTGCACCCACAGCGTCGACCTCATTGTCGCGCATTCCTATCGTCAACCCACGTCGGGTATTCGTTAGATTGCGTTTTAGTTGTATCTTATCACTTTTCAGCTTCATGATCAGGCTCTCCATGCCTTCCGTAGGTTCACCAGAACCAGCGCCATCCTCTCCGGTCGGCTCTGACATCGATGCCGCCGTCGCTGTCTCAGTCTCAGCACTATATTCTCCGCATGCACTACTTTTCTCTCGTTCTTCCTCCATGGTTGGAACTATTTTTGAAATCCAACCTCGTAACTAAATTTCTTCGATCGAAACGTGTATCAAACTATCAACTATCAAACCATCCTCTGCTACCAAATGGTGTTTCGCTAGGCTTCTGCCGCACGCAGTCCCGTAATGGGCCGTATACCAAGCTCACACTCGACGGAGTCACTCACAACACGAAAGACTTTATGGTTGATTAGAAGTAGAACGCCATGTCACGAACCGACTATTTCGTTCTAAGAAACTACAAGTGCAAAGAAAAACTCTCTGGAAACCAAAAGGCAGCGCAGCCAAACAAAGGTACAGCTAAAAACCTCATGCCGCACGCACAAGAACACAACAACCAAAAAGGCTACACGGTGCCAAGGCTGGCTCAGCGAAACCGACCGCAGCGGAACCTAAATGGTAGCCCGCTGTACAAATTCGATATTACATCAGGCATCAAGGTGCCCCCAAGGGGAGCACATGAAGACAGTAAGATGCCAGGAGATAAAGGTCAAATCACAGAGAACAGACAGCATGACCGCAATGGCAATCAGGAAGAGAAAGCAGATCGCAACTGAACATGACATGAACGTGTAGACTGAACTCCGTGGCATTCTCGCCACGCCAGTGCCATACCTGGACAGCGAGTCAGTTCAAGATCAACGAAGGGCAAGCTGCCCAAGTGATTTATTTCCTCCGACGCAGACGTCGGAAACCTAACACAGCGAAGACATGATGAGAGAGGTGTAAGGACTAGTGCATCCGAAAGAAGAATAGCCAAGGAAGTCGAGAGACTACAGGCGGAGTTGGACAAGGAAGCAGAAGTGGCGAAGTTGCGACAAGAGTCGATCGCCATCCAACTCGATCTAATGAAGAAGGCAAGCACGGTGGAGAGGGCGAAGTCTGAGTTTCGTCGCCGCTCTTCCGCATCTGCTTACAGTGAGAACAGCAGCGAAGATAGAAGTGTCTACTCACCTTCCGATTTGGACCGACCAGTACAGTGGTCGGCACAGGACGTGGGTCTACACCACAGTCAGCTGATGGACTGGTCGAACCGACAGCCACAGTTACAGACGCAGCGTATGCGTCGGGTGATGTTGAGGCAAACCCGGTGGAGATGGTGCTTGGGCAATCGCCAATAGTGCCACCCAGTGTTACTGGTTCAGCAAGTTCAGATGCTGATGACGACGAAACAGAGGTGGATAGTTGCAGCTCCGACTACAGCAGAAGGCTGCCTCTGTGGTATGTTAGAGAACTAAGGAACAGAAAGTCGAACTCAGAACTGGCAGGGGACCAGCAGCAGCAGCAGCAACAACATGTCAGCAGATCCACACAGCAGTTTGTTGTCAGGAATCCAGGCAGACTACAGCCAACAACTACCCTGTCAAGGGCAGTAAGGACACCAGCACACCCAGTGAGCAGCAGACCAGTGCCAGCAGTGGATGCTGCTGTTCCGTCACCACCTGCTACTATCAGTGCAGTAGGCAGTAGCACCACCAGTGGAGCATCAGCAACTAGGCCGCATGGTGTGGACGGTCTCAGCGCACAGCGCGCCGTAGCCGCATCCAGTGCAGCGCCAACTCAACGCTCTGGCTTCGTGAGCCAGGCGTTCGCACCAATGACAGCACTTACAGCAGCCGCCCCTCCGTTTGTGCCGAAGCCCAGCGTGACGGTGCACGGAGCAGCTACCAGTAGTCAGCCGACAATCTCGCGTGAGGTCAGACCCGGCCTGACATACACCAGCACACCGGCGTATCCATATCAGCCTATGCCTGTACCACAGTACATGGTTTCAACAGCAGCACCCCAGTACCCGAGTAGCCAAGCACAAGCAGTGCCAGCCCACCAAATCGGACAGCATCAGGGTGCCCCGACAGTGACGCCGGCCTACCGCCCGAGTGGCCACCTCAAGGCACTGAAGCTGCCCATGTTTGATGGCAATGAAGACAATTACGTGAGATGGCGGCAGAAATTCATGGGACTGGTCGGCGCAGATCCGAATGTCACAGAATACTACAAGATGGCACGCCTGAGGGAGGCTCTCGCGGGTGGCTGTGCTGAGGAGCTGATAGAAGACGTCATGGACGGGCCGGGGGCCTATCAGGCAGCCATGCAGGAGATCGAGGCCTGGTATGGTGGTGAGGATCGTCAGATCGAGCGGCACGAGCAGGAAATCATTACGTGGCCGAAGATCACTACCATGAAGGACACTGAGAAGATAAAGAAGTTCGCATTGAAGCTGCGGAGTGTCC